AATGAGTACTCCTTCAATGCTACGAAGGGAATTTAGTTATCCAGAATCTAAATTTTAGTTTAATATAGAAAACCTATGAACACTCGATGTGTTCTAAGAACTAAATTAAACTTAAAATAAGACTAAAAACTCGGCCCGAGTGTTCTCGACGCCGGGAACGCCCCGAGTTTCAAAGTATCACGAAGTTTCGAGATCCCGTCTTTTCAGTTAATCGTCGCGCAAACAGAAACAGATACGAGTTTAATGAGATCGCACGATAGAGACGGTGAGTCAATCGGCCACCGGATATTCGAGTTTTCCTTACGGGAACTCTCTCGACGCTTAATAGTTCCATTACCATCGGCTCGACGTTTCTCCCTCGCGGAACCCGCGCCGCACGATTTCACGTTGGCAGACTGAACTCAGGCCGGGCTAAAGGTCGCGTATCGGATACATGCCCCGTTGAAACGCCTCGCGAACAACTTAGCCAAAAATAGCGGGCGAGCGAGCGAGCATCGGTGCTGCCAGCGGCAAGACCGAATCGAGGGTATTGTATTACGATGCCGATTGCCTGCAAATCTACCGCCTCGTGCAGGAATAAGCGTTACAATAAACGGGATGAGCGCAGGAGTTCGTGACGCGTCGCCGTAACCGACGGTACTTCACCCGAAATTGAAAGCGAGCGAAACCGCGACGACGCGGTACGGAATAGAGAGATCACGGAATGCGGATGGAAATATCAGTTTTAATATCTATGTTATTGCACCGAAGAACGGATTTGGCAACAATTACCGAGATTTGGCTTAACGAACAGTCTCTTAAGTGTAAATATACTGTATGTACACCGATAGAAATTATAGTTACTTCCGGCTTCAATCATACTCTTTTTTTATTTTAACCACAAAAATAACAGTAGCAATATATGATTGATATACTGAAAAATCCACTTAATTGAATTAAACAAAATTTGATTAAGATATGGTCAACAAACAAATCTTTTGGTTGTAACAACGAAAATTTGGTTCTTTGAACCAAAGGTTTGGTTCTCTGAAAAAAAAAAAAAATAAATAAACATCCGAAAACGATTCAAATTTTGGCAAACAGATTCTTTGACGAGATCGCGATCAATTTTCCCTCAGCAAGGTACTTCGACCCTCCAAATTTTAACATTGCCCATCTGAATGCGCGAGCCCCGACGAATCGAAATTTTATCGAGGTAAAATTCCCGTGAAAACAACCGAAGGAAATATTTTATTAACGACTTCCGGGAGCCTTAGTTCACGCGGAGGTCCTCATTTGCGATGTCGAATAATTTTACCCATTCACACCGGAGGTACCCTCGCGGAAAAGTTATGCATTTTTCATTTCCATTCGTTTGTTCGGTCATGCAAAAAAACAGAAGGAAAGAGAGAAAGAGAGAGAGAGAGAGAGAGACGAAGCGGAGTAATCAGCGCCGGATTCGAGGTCTCATCGGCAATATCCGCGACAGTCGGAGCGCACCGCGAGGCTCGCGACCCTCGTGAAAGCCGACGCGCCTTAATATCCGGCCCCGTCGACGGGGACTTTTTTCCTCCCGCCGTCCGCGAAGCACTTCGATTACGTCTCCCGCGCGTAACGTTACGATACGCGCGAGGCGAGATGTTACGCAAACGCCGGCGTAGAAAGTCGGACGATTAAGAGCGAAGCCCTCTCCGCCCGAGCAGGAGAGTGAATCGTTCCGTGGGGATTTCCTGTATGCGCGTTCAGGTGGTGCACGCGAATCGCGTACGCACGCGCACACGACGCAAATCGAACGCACAATCGTCCGCTCGTTCGAAACGCACGCGGAAATTCGCACGCGACGCGCTTTCCTCGAGAGGAAAAGGGGAGGAGTGGGACGAGCGAACGGCGCCAGCTTAAGCGAATTATCGCGACGACGAAGGAGGAAGCCGGAGAGGCGTCTACCACGAGGCGAACCTACCTACCATCTCCATCCGGGAGGAACTTGCTTGTCCCGTTGATTGAATAACGTCGCGTTATTTCCTAGCAGACCCGGCCGCGGTTCCGGGAGCGTGACCGATTCAGATAATTCGCGAGGATCTCACGTATCGGCTAGAAATTGTCATTGGATATATCTGGTATTGCACAAGGTGAGCGCAAGCGCGTAATCCTTACATTACCTAACTTAATCATGCAGTGGTAGAAGTTGAATAAGGAAGACCTTTGTAATTATTCTAACGCGGAGACAAATATCTCGCTAGCAAGTGGTTACAGACAGCGAAAAATTGGTTTCAACAGATATAATAGATTTGGTCGCCGAACATTATTTATATAATTTTTTTCCGCAAAAACATTTGCTATTTTTACATTATTTCAAGTCAAAAATCGTCCAATTCTAACAATGTTTGGGCCTCGATTTATATCTTGTGGGTATTTTTTACCAGTTTAGTATTTCCTGACCTTTATAAATCCCAGTCCCGGTCATAATCCTTCCCATTACCTGAGATGAAACGTGATGGAGATTCAATAGCACAACCTGATAAGGACATTATAATGAATCCTGACTAAGGTTCTGATTACCACGTAGCGTTACATGACTTCTTAGGACCCGATATAATCCGGTATAACCTTAGACGGATCCGACAACCAGTTAAGGTCAAACCCAAGCTGGATGATGGGATAAATTTCTAGTCGGTGCGGCGCTCCGGCGACGGACATTAGCCACCTTTCGCCCGGAAGAAATGCTCGATCGTCTGACGCCCGTAAATCTACCGCGTAAAGAGCGCGCATTATACTTATCATCCTCGCGTTACGACCTAAGACGTAAAGCCCGGATTTTATTTATGGCGACGTGAAGCATTAGACCGGTTGATTAACAAGAGCCGAGGGAGAGAGACGCGGTAACAACTCCACGCTGAAGAAAAAGAAAAGAAAATGCCGGCACGCACGTACGCGTTTACGCGCGTTTTCGTGTGAAATATTGCCCGCGTTACCTTTTACGGAAACGAGGAGGGATTCTCCGACGGAATAGGCTGTGTATCTTTAAGACCGCGATCGAGAAAAACCGGGAATAGCTGCGAGAATGCAAGAGGACTTCGTCTCAAGATCGCGACGTTAACCTTCGAATAACAAGATTAGGTTGGATCCGATCGAATCCACATTCTAATGCTTCTGCACACGCGCTGATAAAGCGTAGAGTGTTGTGGTTTCGTGAAACTTTCAAGTCTTCCCGCAGCAGCTAGTAGCGTAAGATAAAGTAAGATTGTACTATCTTATCCAGTATAAAGCCTAATTACTCCATCTGGCTAACTGTCTCGAATCCCTGGGCCACCTTGTTATTAACGTCATTTTTTTATTATTTTAAATATATAGTATACAAAGTATTTATCATAAATTAACAATAATTTGTAATTATTTTTTGACCGGATTAAAGCGGAAAATGGATAACTCTCTCTCTCTCTCTCTCTCTCTCTCTCTCTTTATTTTTATTTAATAAAATATTTTCACGTTTTTTTTTTCTCTTTTTATTTCCTTATTATTTCCATATTATTTTATCACATATTTATATTATTATGCTAAATTATTCTTTTGCAAAGAAAACTAATAGATTAAACATCTTACAGATTACTTTTACGGTTTCCTGCTCAAATAAATATTGCTATGTATTTTATAATTCAGGTATTCTACATATTTTACTATATCTTCTGTTTACTTTAAAAAATTTCAACTCATTGTGAGAATAAAAAGTGCCTAATCGACAAAATTAGTCGAAAAAAATTACAAAATGCTCCTACCGCTTGGATCCGGACTCATTTCGTTAAACGTGACTGCACAAACCTTCTTATTCAAGGGTTAATGACTCCGAGATAGTCGGAGATTTTTAATTCGGCTGATAATTGTATCATAATGTCGATATCCGCCTCTCCCTCTCCGCGTCGGAAAATAATGCGCATTAAGCAACGCAGAAATAGCAAGCCACATTAAGACCCGAACCGAAGGCCCCAAGCGCGAGCGGAACGATCGCGAGATAAAATCTCGAAGATACGCGCAAGGTAAACTAATTTCAGATTAGGTATCCATTCGCGCGGCAATAAAACCAGCGCGGATCGCCGCGGCTAACCGATACCTGTCCCCACGAACATAAACACGATAAGACACGACGCCGCTGGGAAAAGCAATAAAAGCGCGCGTCTCGGATGTCCGGACGATAAAAGTCCGATCTCCGACCCGCTCGCTCGCCCGAAGATCGGCTGTCGATTTGTGCGAAAGCTCGCGAGAGGGGCCGGAGACGGCGTCTCGGTGAAAAAAAGAAAGAAAAGATTGAAAGAAAAGGAAAGAAAATCCGAGTGACTCCGCGAGTTCGAGGATTGCGCGGAATCTGCGCGCGCCGCGAGCGAGCAAGCGGCTCTTATCGAGTATCGACGACTATCCTCGGGTAGTCGCCGCGACTGAAAGGATCCCGCCGATGCCCGGTGAAACGGGAGGCAAATTACTCGGTAAGTAGAAGCTACCAGTCGCCGCCTCGAGTGGCCGGCTCGTCCTCCCTTATCGCGACTCGTTAGTTCGCGCTCGCGTTAAATTCCGCTGCATTTTGCGCTTTTCGATGCCTCGGCAAGCCGTGCGTACAACCTCGGCTACGTATGCGCAGTGACAGGACGCGCTGACAAGCGAGAACCTCGCAATCCGAGAACATCGCGCGCCGTTCTCTCACGTGCGAGAGAGGCGAGATCGGAGGCGCGGGGACTAACTCCGCGGATATCTCCCGACACGCTTAATGGCACGGCCTTGCGATTCGATCTTATCGTCGTTGAAACTGGGTACGCATCCGCTTATACGGGGTGTCCCGGAGCACCTCTGCTCACCGAGGAGTCGGAACGAGATCACCGAGCTGTGATTATCACAAAAATAACGCGAAGGCTTTATACTTCACTGTCGACTAATAGATAGATGTTATGATTTTACGTTAATTTTTAACGTAATAATTGTGTTAATTTTCAACATATTCACTTTGTGTTGAATTAACATCGTTTGTGTGAACTCACCTCTTACAGCTTCTCGTAGTGTCCTCGTCGTCAGCCGGTGCTCCCGCTCCCGAATCCTGAAAATGAACGGAAGAATTCTCATGTAAAGGCATGTAGTTTGGAAGGATCTTCGAGCGAAATTTAAACAAATTTCTTTTTCGAGCTTAACCTTAGTAATAAACAGAAACATGCAAAACGACTGTGCAAAGTGTGTCAATATTAATGAAATAAACGAGATAAACGGAAAAAGTGCGCGCGCGTGAACATTCATACAAATTAAAATTCTGAACTTGGACGATTATGGAGATCTTCCGGGCACTCGATTTCAGCAAATTAATTTTTTTTTTCTAACGTATATCGTTCCACGGAATGTAAAACTACTGTCATTTGTTTGCACAAGCCGCCGGGACTCTCGGCAGGAATTTATGTGAATATTCGCACACACGAAAACTTTCCTGTTTTATTTTATTTATCTATGTTAAAATTGACATATTTTGTACAATTTTATTGTTTTGTGCATATTTTTGCTGAAGTTAAACATGAAAATAAACTTTTTTTTAATTTTCGCTCGGTGATCGTTCGAAACTTCAACCACATGCAAAGACGGCGAACGGACGAACAAACAAACGGAACCGCCGCGGAAGTCGCGAAAGTTTCATTAAGAGATCCAAGTGCCAAGATCACAAATCGCGCTTGGTTCCGTAATCATTGTCGATTCTCTTCGGAAGTTACCGTGTACTAAAATAATAATTAACAAAGCGGAACCTCGACGCTTCCTTTTTTTTTCCTACCCCGACCGATTTCTGCGGCGAAACGAAAAGCGCCGAACGCGCGGCATTAATAATTCGCGGTGAAAGCGCGAAACAAAGGTTCGCTGCCGTCAGAATTACATCGATACCGGCTCCGTGACGGGGGAACACGGGCAAGCCTTCATTCGTCCCTCTCCAAAGATAATTGAGGCGTCGTGACAGCTGTGGTGAACGGCACGGAACGACTGGAAAAACGCACTCGGCACCCGAAGACAATGCGTGTTTGTTAGCTACCGAATAAAATTGCGGTCGCGAACGCTCAATTTCGAAAGTTTATTACAGACGTGCGACGAAACTGCGATGCAAACAAGCTCGGCCTCAAAACGGGAAGATAAAGACACGGAATAGCGCAGCTTTCGCGGATTTAACCCTCGACCCGTTGCGGTCCCTCAAATTGTTGATAAAGCGAGCGACGGTATGCGACTTGTTGCGACTTCTTAACACGTTGACTGCCAACGAGATATCTCGTAGGTTGTTTACTTGCCCAGGACACCAACTACGAGTTATCTCGTCGCTTCATTACTTGATTAAATCAAATTGGCTTCTTAGACCAAAATCGTGAAAAGTTCCGTGGCAGTCAACGTGTTAACTCACGGCGTTTCCTAATCATTTTAACAATCCGCCAAGATCTTTAAGACATTGCCTATGCTGCCCACTTTTTTTTTACATTAAACATCGTCGTACTTTGCATGGTCTACATCCCCATATATGAACATATATATATTTAACTGCTAATTTGCTTCCCGCGAAAGAAAAAATTTGTTTAGACAGCAAAACGTTTGTTTGGATAGCAGAAAGATTTGTTAGGAGTATTAATTGCCCATATATTCAGCAAATAGCAATTAATATTCTTAACAAATCTTTCTACTGTCCAAACAAATTTTTTGCTGTCTATACACACTTTTTTTACTGTCACTATATCGAGAAACATTTGCTCTTCTACCAAAATTCGTTTTCTCCGTGCGATTCTGTAAACTTTTTGCAACAGTAATTTGAAAACATTCAAATACTCCATACTGCGATTTCATGAACCCTTAGTTTTAATTATAATATCATTATTTTATCGGTTAAATATTACCTGTCTGCGATATTTTTGCTTAATTGTATACATTAAAAGATACTTCCCGTTATTGAAAATTATTATTATTATCATTATTATTCGCCGCCAATCACACATTACGGAACAAAATGTAGCAGAATTGATAATTAAAAAAAAAAATCAATTTTCTCAATTCGCGAGAATAAAATTTAACGCGAATTAACGATCAGAAGTGCTTGGAACGTTCATTTACTTTCGAGAAAGATGAATTCGATTAATAATAATGTACAGCAGCACGCTTCGACGAGTTAGGCGTGTCTTCGTTCACGACGGACACTGTTTTATGTATATTTACGCATCGACGCACTTACAAATGTTAATCCCGCTTATCGACACGCGTTCATATACATTACGGCGGAATTTATATAACCTCGCCTCGCTCTCCCCATACGTCCGGCCAATAATGCAGCGAGACATTTCCACGCGTCATTTGGCCGCACGTAGGCTTCGCGCGCGTCACGGAACGGTGGCTCTTTTATTAATAAAGTACATCGTAAATATCAAGGATACGAGGAACTCGAATCCCCCACGGCGTGTCACGCAGAAAACGAACCCTCAAAATCAATAGGCGAGTAGTATGCGTACACAACGCCCGAGGCCACCCTTTCCCCGTCACGCTAAAAAATGCAACTGGCCCCCTGCGTAAGTGCACTTCGCTGTATGCAAAGTGCACGATAGGGCGACCCCTCTCTCTCTCTCTTTCTTTCAGTCCCTTAAAACCGAGGATGCTCGACAAAGTGAATTGTTCTCGAGAATCTTCGGCGTGCCGTGCTTAAGGTGTCGAAGCTAAAAATAATTCACGGCCCGCGCTTCAGCGACGAGAGCCCCGTAACCGCGCAAATTAAATGCGAATCACAATCGTTTTATAAATGTTGCGCCAACGTATTATGTTCCTCGACAAAAATGTAATATAATGTAAATTTCTATCTGCACAATAAAAACACTTTGCATTGAAAACGGTTCACTGAAATTTTCGTGTTACATTTTAACATGGAGAACGTGTTAAAAAGCACACGAATATAACGTTACACTAACAAATTCGTCTTATTGACGTATTACTTTTTAACATATTCACCTTGTCAAAATAACGCAGAATTTCATAGAGCGGACCGTTTTAACATACAATTTTTTACTGTGTACGCGATTATATTATTATGAAATATCCGCTTTCGCAGGTCCGTTGTTCCTCGTGAAAGAATTTTTTTGCTACGCTCCGAAAATGAGATTAAATACATTAACTACTCAAAAAGGCAGAGAAACGCAAAGATATAAATTTAAATATTGAAGTTTAAAGGATAGGAGGTTCGAGACACCGAGTCAAAGCATTGTTAGACGAGAATGAAATATGCAAAAGACAATATCCCGCAATTATTCTCCGGAGAAGATACTTTACAATGTACCATCGCCGTTAAGAAAATTGATCATGCGAGCGCTATTAGCAGCGCAGTGCAATTTTCCAATCCTGCCTTAGCGCTTCGGCTTAAAATAGAACCTTTCATTTGCTGAAAAGAAGATTGCGCCTGACCGAGGATAGAGAGAGAGAGAGAGAGAGAGAGAAAGGAAGAACAAGGAGAAGGGGGAGTAGCAGTAGGGTAGAGGCCCTGCAGCTTTTTTAATTGCGGCTTTCAAGGCGAACTGAATACAGCACAGCATCGCGCGATGCCAAGTCGAGTGAATCCTCTGCCGCCTGGCCGTAAGCGCATTTAAATTTCAAACTCGATTTCCCAGCTTAGAATAGCGGAGAAGTATCCGTCAATCTGCGAACTGTGTCAGATAAAATAGCGAGGACTGGACGTTATTTCAGCGCGAATCGAATGATTGAAAGATCAAAACGATTCTTTCCGTGAAATCGGGACAGAACGCGAAAAAGTTCTTCCTCTAAAGAAAGAGATTCGGGAATAGCGATGCCGTTAATTTCAAACTATGCAGCCGTGAGACACGAATAATCGGTATGAATTTTATACGAAAGTTACCATCGACTCCGCGAGAAATAGAACTCTCTCCGGAAGAGGGCGAGAATATTTCTTGGAATTCGCTCCGTTAGACGTTTAACAAAGAACGTTTTCTCGCTCAGAGAGTGCGAAAAATATAACGTCTGTAGTGACAGACACAGAAAGAGGTACGGGTTTAAAACGTACGCGAGCGTTGCATCACGACACGTGACCTTTCCAGCACGCTTCCCACCCATCTTCACTTTTACTCACAATAAACAAGGGGCACAGTTCTAGATACATTCGAGCCGCTACGTATACAGGGTGCTCCGAAAACGGCTGCTTTTGACGCTTTCTCGGCGAAGGGCGCACGAATCAACGCGCAGGAACCGACGGCTTTCGTTTCCGGGAATCGGAGAATGAATTCAGAAACACGTTCCATAAGAGGCGGCTCGCGATCACTTCATTCCGCGACTCACAAGAGCGTGATCGCCGCGAGGATGGCCGCAACACAAACGCAAACACAATACGTTGAAATTACGAACGGTGTCCGAAGATTCGAGCCGCGCATGAGATCATCCAGACCCAACTGGTCCGCACCTCTCTCTGTCTCTCTCTCCCTCTCTCTATTCGCGTATCTAAAACACACCGCAGTACGACAGACAGATCACTCGGAGCTCTATTTCGGGTCGTAATTGCACGCGGAAGACGCGCGACCGGCGAAACGCGGATACGAGATTCGATCGTTCGCTCGGTTGCGCGCGCGCGCGACGTTGTTCAAATCGTCCCACATGAATTACCTACGCATTTCTCCCGACGTTCGCGTAGACGACGCACGCCCCTACATAGAAATACACCGTCGCGCGTATGCAATTGGTTTCGTTTTCTCACGACGTATCCACGAGAAATTCCTCGATAACTTCCCCCAGGATCGAACGAACCTGTCGATCGAACGATCGTCGCGCGGGAATCGTGAGGGAATCGTTCGTGAAGATGGCGCTCGGAAATGCGAATTTTCATCAAATTCCACGCGACATTCGTTCATCCACGATTTGTCCGTAGAATATTATTCTCGCCCATCCTGCGAAATAGTTGAAATCAAATAAAAACAGGCAAATTTTGATACGATCATTCTCATTCCAAGCGTTTTCCCTTAACATCCAGGCGGGATTCTGTCCACCCATAAATCTTGTGTATTCAACAATATTCTTCTTTGAAAACGTCGCGGATTTTCTTGAATACATTTGAGTTCCGCCTTGCTGTTTGCTTGGAAATTTTCAATGAAATGTACGATGAATCAAAGTAATAATAATAAACGATGCTAGCAATATCCAATCTCAACCGAGGAGACTTTCACTTTCCAGCAAAGTTCACACAAAGCATCGCTGGCTATAATTGCGAATCTGAAATACGTAACGCGATAATAATATAACGGAGATACCATCGAAAGAAACGGAAAATAAAGTACGATACTTTCGGGTTCCTGTAATGTACTTTCGAACGATATGACTGAGGTGCGCATAAATTAGCGTTGCACCGGTTACGTGTTGATTCATATTAATGCTTAATTACATTGTAGCTCAATTAAGAAGACAAAAAAAGCAAGCACGACTTGTACGCGCGTGACAAACAATGCGTAACAGTCACGCATGGGAATATGTGGAAAACCAAGGTAGTAAATGCGGCATATTACTCCCGCTTCTCTCTTTTATATTTCATAATTATAAATACATGATTCCAGAGAAAGAGAGAGAGAGAGAGAGAGAGAGAGAGAGAGAGGGAAAAAGAGAGGGAGCTTTAAAGGATACGCCATTTTAAAAAACGACATCAATTCCCCGTGTTTTCGTAAAATGATTTGAGAAATATCTAAATATTTAAATGTAGCAAAGTTTATATTCTCGTGAGAAAAAGCATGATCATTCTCTTTTGATTTTATTTTCTAACGAGATTAATTTTCTCCCGATTAATGTCATAATGTCTCGCATTTCACTCCGATAAATAAATAGCTAATTGTCCTTTTTCTTTACAACCCAACCTTACGTTTCGCCTCGTAACGTGTAATTAAATACACTGCGATAACTCCCGTGCGTGCTAATATATACGAAATATGCGCGTGTCCGTAATGTCGTATGTCGTTACAAGCTACTTTCCCTGCTCGATATGATTTGCGTGTTGCTCAGCATGTTGTTATCGTGCATCTTGATTACTCTCGAAGAAGAAAAGCATGTGCTTAATTCGGATAACGGTCGTTGTACACCCTCAATTATCCCCCGTAAAAAAAAAAAAGAAACCGTACTTATCTCCACGATTCGTTCCTTCCCATCAGAACTTAATTCGCTCCATCACGAATTCGCGGGCGTGACAAATCTCCATTACAGCATTGTATCATCTAACATCTCGTACGCACAAGAAAGTTACTCCAAGCGCGTAGAAGATCAGACAAATATTAACCGATCAATCCCTTTGAGTAGCAACGAAATGCGTTCCAGAGTAAATACAAAATGTTCGCACCGTCGACGCGCCATAAATCCCATCGACCAATCAATTATTCCTGGCAAATATCGAAGAGAGCGCGTCGTGATGCGCGAGATTAATTTTTAACAGGAAACCGAAATCAAATGTAGACACACATACAATCGATAAATCAAAGGCGAGATTTTTTTTTTCGATGAGCTTCGCGACGCATCTCACATATTCAATAGAGAAATGTATTTTCTGAAAATACTTAAAAAGAAATTCTTGGATACAGGTAGCATTGCTAAATTCATCAGAAAAAAGTGTTGCAACCTTTAGGTTTGACTTTCACCAAATTTTGATTAAGTTAATCGATGGGTAACAATAAAAATTGCCAATTTCCAATTCTGTAACTTGTCCAACAATAATGGAGAAGTTAATAATTTCTATAAATATTAATAAACGATTCTATTAGTGTCTAAGAAAGAAAGAAAAAACAGCGAAATCGCGACTGTTGTATATATGTGTGCGATATACAAATAAATAATTATATTGTAGGAAGATATATATATATATATATATACACACGTTTTGATTGAAGGAAACAATTTTTAGTTACAAGAATCATAGTAATAATAGTTCTTACAAGACCACCAGAAATGCTGCTTCCCTCAGCCAAAACATGTTTGATATTTTATTACTCAATAGTGTAATTCGTTCCTCACTTTCCTCTGGTCCCTTTCTAAAAACGTAGTTATACGCGATACATAAATATTCAATTAAATTCTGAAATCGAGGCGGATATTTTCCAGACGTTCACTTTCTGGTTAATTCAGCTATTATTCCCTATCAGCGTATTGCCGCGATTCGACTCTTAATGGCTTATATTCCTTCCCACCTGAGTTAATATAATTTCTATCTACGTTAGAAAGATCAAACAGGCAACACTCGACTGACCTGACTGACAGCAATTTTAAATCGTCGATTAGCTTAATCGGACTTGGGTGAAAGTCACCCTTAATCTGCCGACTGTGTGTTATTCTCTTTCCCGGCTCCGCTCGCTCGCTCGCCAATTACGAGAATCAGTGGCACGGCGAGGAGCGCCAGCATTTTCTAAACCCGCTGAACAATCGGGAGAGTCGACGGACTCTCCTCACTCTCCACGAGGGCTTACTTTTGCGGTGACTTTTTCTCGCAGCTGCGTGACGCGCGCGCCGCACGCGACCCGTCCGCGCGGCCGCCGATCGTCGCCCCAGAGTATGCTGGACCAAGGCGAGGGCGGCTGGGGCGCCGGTGGCGGCGGTAGGCCATAGTGCAGCGAGGCTTTCTGCTTCAGCACGATCATGCCTTCGATAATACGTCGTGCCGACTGACAGGAGCACCCGTAGCAGTGCGATAACGCGCTTCCTGCGCGCCGCCCGGAGCTTTCGTTACATCCGATCGAGCTCGACCGGAATGGATCCCGAAAGCGGATGCGCGTCGACGCAATCGGTTCAACCCTCGAACGATCTCATCGGACCGAGTCTCTCCGATCCTACGCTCGTGCGAGATTCTTCTTGAGCGTCGAGCTATCCGTTAAAGAAACGCGGACTCCTTCGATCGATCCCTCACGTTCGCACGGTGACGCGTCATCGGTCGGAGAACGACGTTCTAATTCGCGAAATTCAAGTCTCGATAACGCGACGACGGAGGGGGAAACCGCGGATTTCGCGGGCGGTAATTCAGCGAGCACTGTACAGCGCCGCACGTGCGACTGATCAGTCAGAACAGTCGTCAATTATCACATCGATAATCCATTTGTTTGCAATGAATCTATATTTATCGGCATCTCATCGGTCCAACGCGCGGTCGGCTGGTGTTGGATTCAATTATCACCGGAGCGGTCCATCCCCCGCGATCGTCCCTCGTCGAAAGCCTGATTGTTCGCCTTGCGTCGCCGCCCGGTCGCGTTAATCACGATCAGTCTCGAGCCCCGTGGGCGACGGAGGGTCGGAGACAAAGGGCGCGAATACGCGGGAGGCTCGATCGAAGCGAGACGCGACAAACGAGAGCAGATCGCGCCAAATATGTATCGCCCTCGCGAACCACCGTCGTGCCGAGCGGCGGCGGACCAACTGAGTCCGTCGACGCCGACAAACGTCGGGGAGGGCTGCGAGAGAAAGAGAACACACACACCGTCTCTTTCTCTCTCGTTCGCAGTGCTTACGCGAGCTAGCGTGTCGGTGTGCGCGCCGCCACGCCGCGCTGCGTCGGGTCGCGGCTTGGGTCGCGCGCCGGCGACTCCGTGACGTGATCGTCGGCCCTCGAGGCAGCGTGAAGGAAGGCCCTGCGCCTTTCGAACGAAAGGTCGCTGTGACACCGAAGGTAGCACCGAAGGGCGCGCGCGACAGAGAGCGGAGCGAGCGGGGTGGTCGGGAGATGAGGGAATAAAGGTCAAGTGCGCGAGCACCATGCCTTGGCCCACTTCTTGGACTATGATGGATGCGTAGAATCTACGCACCGCGGGGATAGATCGCGAGATAAGCCCGCGGGAAATCCCGGCGGTTTACTGTTGTTCACTGCCGTGATGGCGATAGGAGGTATTCTGGGTATTAGAGAGCGCGGAATGGCTTCGCAGTCTTTTCCGTATTCGGTTGATGTTCCGTTGAAAGTTCGCGAGTGATTCTTGAAACTCGAGTTGAAGCGCGAGTCCGCGTAGATTCGCGGGGACGAATGCTCGTTTTGATTATTGAGAATTTTGGTACCCGAGTTGGAATGTTGATGTTACTCTGACGCTCTGTTAACACTCTTATAGACTAATGAAAACCTTTGACGATGCTAGTAATTGTTAACTTCCATCTTGAGCCTTTAATTCTATGTATTAAATTTTAATGACTTCAATGACTTATTTTGACGCACAAAGCAGCGAAAACGGAATTTAAGACATCATCAGGGTCAAAGTATGGGTCATATTATATCATTAGAATTGATACTGAACTTATTTTACTATCTTAGTTTCTAATATGTTGTAGAATTGAAGGTTTAACACAAGGTCAAAATTTCGACTCGGGAAGCAAAAAAGGTATTCGACTAATATTAATAGTCGCGTTGAACAATCAATTTCAAACAGCAATTTGACCCGATTATTTGACGAAAAGATGTAGCTGAACTTTACGTACAAATTTACAGGACAGATGTGTTGAAAAATAAATAAAAAAAAGTCTTAGTAAACGTATATCTGCAAAAACTTGATTTTTGAGATATACTCTCTTCAGAAGATGACAACGATGAGAGAAAATGTATCGCGATAAGCGGGTTAATAATGCCAATACAATCATTTTCATCTGTTTCTGAAGAAAATACCGATCAATTTTGATATTTCTGAATATTAACCAAAGAACCATTCATTATGACGTTAGTATATTGTTAACGTTTGTCGCGAGTATACCGAGAAAAAAGTATTTAAAAGAAGATTGGCTTATGTAAAATAAAATATTCCACAGAAATAAATCTTATATCCCACAAATAAATGTTTAAGTATTTTTCTCTCAGCGTAAAATTAAAAATACATATTATTTCCCCTTGACATCATGATAAGGGAGACAGACGTTTCGAACAATCTTTATAACAGTACGTATCTAGGTACTTGTGAAGCACTATTTAATAAATGAAAGAATTGTTTTAACTGAAATTGCGGCAACTATATCTCAGAAACTAAGCATCTGAAGCCGTACATTTGCTGAAACTTTTTACTTAATTTTTTATACAGAATCTATCTGTGAATTTATCGGTAAAATTCAGAGATATACTATATATATATATATATATATGTGTGTGTATGTAATTATATTATTATTCTATAATATTATTCTACCGGCAATTCCATGATAAATTTATTTCGGTGATAATATTGTAATAAGGACATTAAATCTCTATTAAACCGTCTTATCGCGACCGATAACAATGTGCGATAAGAGACCGGTCAATCAATAGAACCGATCAGTTGCAATGACCCTGATGAGAAAACGCGCTCGTCACTCGTCGTCCGTTGCGCAATTCCCTCGTTGCTTAGGGAAACGAAACCGCGAAATTATCACTCGCCTGTCGCTCATTATCAGCACTACGGAAGCGCGCGATCATTCATCATCTCGCCGCTCGCGCGCCATGACAAAAAAGAAAAACTTGCCGCACCGAAAACCCACCTCTCTCTCTCTCTCTCTCTCCCCCTCTCGTCGCGAGAGAAGATCCGCGAGACATCGTGTGAGAGCGCTCTCTTCGCGAAATAAAGATACCGCAGCCGCGGGGCGCGAATACAAGAAAAAAGCTCCCTTCGTGAGAGAACCGGTCAATGACGACCGTGTGAACGGAAAGCGAAAGCCCAAGCGGAGCGACAAAAAGCCGCACAACAACAACAACAATGCAATCACCTTGATACGATCGCGACGACGCTCTTGATACCGAGAACGCGGCGATTCATTGAAGACGAGGTGAAAGCCGCGGAATTCCGTGTTAGCGAACGAACGAACGAACCACCTACCTACCACCTACGTTTGTTTACGCCACGTTACTCCCCTTTGTTTCGGCGCGCTTTCCGCGCCGGCGAGCGCGGCTCCGCGTCGAGGCGCGTTGCCTCGCCGACGTGGGCCCGGCTACGGGAGAACTTTGAATCCTCTCGATTCCCTTCCTCGCTCGGCTGTCAGTCGGCCGCCAAATAAGGTAGAGCCAGCCGGTCGCTCCGGCGAGCCGAACGGAGCCACGAGCGAGGGCGGGCAACCTAGCCCGCGTTTGAAGCGGCCGATAACACGCCGATACGCGCTCGGCTATCCGCGTCCGTAGATTACCCGTACATACGCGCGGCGAGAAAGATAGAGAGAGAGAGGAGCAGGAGGAAACGCAAAACTCACCGAGCTCTGAGGGGAACTGGACACGCTCGGGGAACGCTGCACGGTGACCAACGCCATAATGATGCGGCACAGCCGGGTCGTCACGATCTCCGGGACGCTACGCTTTCTCGGCACTGTTTCCACGCGCGTACGTACGATCGCGCCGTCAGGAGCGCGGAAAAGCCGTCATTTTTCGCGCACCTTCGACGGCATCACGCTCGCGGCAGCCATGTTGGATACAGCCTCGCGCCGACCGCCGCTCCGCGCACGCGCGTAAGACTCCCCCACCGCCTCTACGCGCGCGATACGCGTGAAGCTGCCTTTTGTCGCGAATTTACGTCCGTTGTCGTCTGGTGCAGACTTTTTCTCGGCACGCGCGAGGATGCCGATGACAGCGGACACGTCGATCCCTTTTCTTCGGTTCCTCCGACCGAAAAGATCCACTGATGAGAACGATTCGCTCTTCACTGTGTCCACGATTTCACACACGTCGACGATGAGCTTCGACGATCGATATACGAATATCGATCTCTACCTCGAACTTTGAAACTCAAGGCGATCCGAAGGATATTCGGAAGAATGATGCTTTGTAGTCTGTGGAGATTACGGCCCGTCTTTTGAACTCTTCTTTATCGATGAGAACGCCGCGACTTCTCAGTCAATCAGGTGGTTCCTAAGCTACTTTTAGAAACATTTTTGTCAATAAAAGAAAGTTCAGAACGCACTTAATTACAGAGAATAGAATCCGGACGGAATTTCACTTGCATCTTTTATACCTCACGGTAAACTACACGGACGTAAACTAAAATTTATCTCGTCTCGGGTATCATCGGACTCATCGTGAGTCATAGAGTTTGAAAGTGAAACATTGTCTTATCAGTCACCTAAGTCATACTATTTTAAAAATAGAAAAATTGTTCGACCCATCGTTGAACCATGTTACCTTGAAAATGAAAGTTTCTCTCGGACATGTCGTCGGCCCTCTCCTTCATTGACAAAAGTATTTCTCAAAATGGTTTAGAAACCACATGATTGACTGAGCAGCCGTATTTTAGGTACTTTTATCGATAAAAGAAAGTTCTGAATACGAATCATTGAATTCTGCCATTTAAAAGGTATAGTTCCGTATGACCTGTCTTTGAGCTTCACTACGACCTCAGTCGGATTTGTCAGTAGAAACAGTAGCGGCTCTTAGCGGAAATTTTAGAACTTAACTTTGGATAAACATCCGACTCGCTGAACTGTAAAACACAATAAATGGATTTCCCTGGCACCATCTAGCGTGATTACTCGTGCCACTGAAATTTGTTTAACGAATTATCCAGCGTCAATAAATGGTATTGTTAAAAATCACAATGACGTGAAATTCGAATCTCAAAATGGCTTGAATACTCGGCTAATACTCGCTTCTATTTTCTTGGTTTAAATCTAATCAACTATTAATTCAACGGAATTGACCAATCGCGTTGATCGGTTCGGCTAATTGCCAATGTGATTGGCCAATTCCGTTGAGTTTATCGTCGATTAGATTTAAACCAAGATGGCAGAAACGGACGTAAATAGGATTTAATTGAGTCTCGCCAGACCCGTTACGCAATTAGACCCTTTACGGCTTCATTAGTTCCAAATTTTCCGCTACGAGCCGCCACTGTCTTGAACGCAAATCGCGGTCGTAGTACGACTCAACGATAGAGGAAACATAAGGTCTGTTCGTTTTCGCTGCACCGCTGAACTAGTGCAATAAGTTGAAATAAGAAAACATTTTCGATACTTGTCTCGCTTCAACTTATTTCACTAGTTCAGCGGTGCAGCAAAAACGAACAAACCTATTGCTCCGAACTGCTATCAGCTGAACAGTTCAGCTAAACAGACTACATCAGTTCCGAGTTTACTGTTTGTGTAGGAATGTGGTGTAATCTGGTGTAATCTCTATAAAGTGTGAGAAAGAAGAAAAAACGGAAGATTTATCTTCTATTTTTTTGCGCGTTCATCATACACTTCGAGATAGACGGTCTGTTTGCTGTGGTATGCCGATTTTGCAGTTATTGCGAAAATGTCGAAAATATTCACACCGACGAACCAAATAAGGTTGACAAACGTTGCTGTTGTTCGCATGAAAAAGAGTGGCAAGCGATTTGAAATTGCTTGTTACAAGAACAAAGTGGTTTCCTGGAGGAAAAAATTGTAAGTACAATTATTTGGCCATTAATCGTAAATTCCTGCGTCTTGACGAGCAATATATTGCGCTCGAGGGGAAATTTTTCATACCTAATCTACATAATCTAAATCTGTCATTTCTTTCGCACGTTCACGTAAATGCATCGTCGTAAAATTTGCATTGTTAATTTGAAAAATATCGTCTCACAACCGTTTTTCATATTTTAGGGAGAAAGACATTGATGAAGTGTTACAAACACATACAGTATTCGCCAATGTATCGAAGGGCCAAGTAGCCAAGAAGGAAGATCTCATAAAAGCTTTCGGCACCGAAGATCAGACCGAAGTATGCAAACAGATACTCGAGAAAGGGGAACTTCAAGTCTCTGACAGAGAAAGGCATATGGCGATAGACTCTATGTTCAAGGATATTGCTACCGCGGTTGCTAGTATGTGTATAAGTCCAGAGACAAAACGTCCGTATCCAGTTTCCATGATTGAGAGTGCCATGAAGGATCAGCTGCACTTCTCTGTTAAACCAAATCGAAATTCTAAGCAACAAGCATTGGATGTCATTACACAATTGAAAGAAGTGATGCCGATAGAACGTGCTCAAATGAGGCTCAAGATCGTCATTCAAAGGAGGGAAGCAAGGAAATTAAGGGACAAAGTGGTTAAACTGGTTTCTAAAACAGAATCAGAGGAGTGGGACAATGGAGTTTTAACAATCATTTGCTTAATCGATCCGGGTCAATTCAGGCAATTGGACGAATTAGTACGATCGGAGACAAAAGGCTCTGGTTCCTTAGAATTACTTTGTTTAAAAGAAATAGTTGAAGGTGATGAGGTCCTAGAATAAATTATAGCTTATTTGAAATGTTATTAAATATTTACTAATCACTATCACGGTGGTTACTGTGTCTATAAATTCATATTTATTGAACACATTTTAATACATGTTGACTAAACAATTCTGTTGTGTAGTAGTAGTGGTAATGGTATGTTTCCCTTGGAATTACAAATTTTAATATACTTTACATCTAACTTTAGTCTATGCTTTATCCTTCTTAATTTCTTATTTTCTGTCCTATTTTCCACGCGCGTACGCATGCATACACACATGTTTCCCCTAACTCTTCCAACTTCTTTTCTCCGTTTATTCTTCCCTTAAATCTATCCTTACCTTATGTCTTAACTACGTTTCTTAATTTCTAATATAATTTTCGCGCCTTTGCACATATTCATCTCCCCTGTTTCCCTCCCTGATTTCCATTTCTATTTACATTCACATCTTCCTCCCTCCTCTCCCTTCTCCATTTCTACCTTCTTCATCCACTTTTTCTCCTCGCTTTTCTTCTTCAAAATACATTCCACATTCTCTTTCTAGCTTCTCCTCGCTTCGCTCCAATTCCTACATCTTTCCCAATATGTTCTTATGTTTCCATCTTTCCTTTACACAATCTATACTTTTTTTTTCTCTCCCAGCATTCTCCTACATTTTCTTCTCTTTTCTTTCTAATTTGTCTCATTCTTCCCTGCTTCTCCCTTCAATTTATCCCCTTACATTTCCTTCCTTATACCTTGATGTTCTCCAGTTTACTCCTAGAATCCACTTAATATATCTTTTCTCGTGACCTTTCCATATTATTCTTTTTCCCTCTCTCCAACCCAATATTTCCACCTTATATTCCATAACTACCCATATCAGCGAATCAAATAACCACAGTTTTCTTCCCCCAATCTTCCTTAAATCTCTTCATTCCTACATCCTATCCTGTCTCATTGTTATCGTTCTTTTCCTTTTTTTCTCACTTTCGTGTTCGTCTGATCCTCCATTAGTTTGAATGATTCTAAGCTAAATGTTTAACCTCTTCAGTTTTACTTCCTTTCAATACCTAATTCACTCTCTTCATTTTTCCTCTCCTTCTTTTAAATATTAATATCCTTGTCTTTTCTACATTGATTGTGTCCATCTTTTCTCTTCTATCATGTCTCTCCAACCTCACTATTGTATCTTTATGTCCCTTTCCTTCTCCGCCAATAACACTATGTCGTGACACTATGTCCGCATACGCCAGTGTACAATACTATTGNATAAATTATATATATATATATATATATATATATATATATTTATATATTTATATTTATATATTTATATATATATGTATACGTATACAGTTTTTGTTGTTTTATCAGTATTTCTTGTTAAGATCATCTTTTGTTAAGTCTTATTTTGTACGTAATAGCTTAATAACTCTGACAAAAGTTTGGCAAATATAGATACTATTTAATCATCATTTTCTTATTTTTATAAACATTCGATTATACGTACCAGTTGTCGAGACGTATACACAAGTGTGTATAGTACACATTAATTCGATATATGTTTCCAACACAACAATCGTTTAAGTAGTTGCATAAAATTTTCTAAGTTTTTAATATTTATTCAATATCATAACTATTGGTACATAAATAATGTTAAACTCACATCTAATATAATTTGCATTTATATTTACAAGTTTTTACTTATATTATCTACAGACAACAGTATCTTTCCCGTATATAAATATGTAACACTGCTGTTATTGATAAAATTAACAAATTTTTTTATCAATATTATAATTGAGCATCTTAATACACTTTTCCTCTATAATTTTAATCTATTCAAAAATATTGTCAACTCAAAATACGTAACATACTACGTATTCATAGATCCGTGGCATTTCGAGATAGATATACGTTACTTTGGCAAAATGGCAAACTGTTTATATCTAACAACTGATGAGAGAAGAAGCATATAGGCAGACGTTTGATAACAAATGAAGGTAATTCATTGCGCTGTCGTAATATCTAATTGTATTACAGTCACTTATACTTGCGTTTACATATGGCTGTTGATTATGGTTGCTTTCCAGCAAGATACAAGAGTCAACACAAGAGACCAGTTACATCATCTATTATTTTCTATATCAAATGCGAGACAAGGATGAATGATGATATAATTAGACTCGTGTCTTTTGCTGGAAAGCGATCTATACTTCCTACAACTTCATACATCTAAATCCAGTGCAAAAGAATCAATATACCCTACGAAGATTTCTAAATCAGTTCTTTTATTTCTCCTCTGTCACTTCTGCCCGCGGAATATAGATATTTTCCGTGCGCTGGTCACATTTGGCCGCGATACGTGATATCGTTAGAAGGAAGTCTGACAACCTGTTCAGATAAGTCTGTGCCTCTTTATCCAGAGCGCCGTCTCGCACCAGCGTTATGATACTTCTTTCCGCACGTCTGCACACCGTTCGTGCGACGTGCAGGGAGGCGCAGGCTTTTCCACCGCCCTAATATAAAAGTATCAGATAATACCAGGGTATAAGTAGAAGAAAGAGAATACACACATAAAGCTGCTGTGATATTTAGGTAATTACTGGAATGATGTAATCCTCCGGAGGTGGCAATTGATTAGCGTATTCTAGAATCCACTCCTCGAGATCTTTGGTATGTTTGCTCTCGAAGGGTCTGGTTTTACCGGGAATAGACTTCGATATGGCATGGCTCAGATCAAACAGGATCATCTGTACTCTTTTGAGCTTGTCGACGTATGGATGTTCGACCTTCCCGTCGCACGCGAATTCTCTCGCCAGTCCTATGTAGGAGGACAGCTCATCGGTGGCCCCAAGGGCGTTAAAAATAATATCGTCTTTCGGCTTCGTGTCTCCGGCATCGGTGATGGTCAGGCCGGAATCGCCATCTCGTGAGAACACCGCTACCTCGGCTACGTTCGACGTTGTACTGCCACTGTGACGATGTCATCGTTAATAAATTGCCAATTACGCGCGACCCCGGTGTAACATTTTCGTTGCGCGACACATAACGCGATATTGTTCTTCGTTATTCACCGATAATGTAATAATTTATTCTGCTGCGCGGGTGTACTTTGAGGTTAGGTGGGTGATTTAAACCGTACCTGTGTCTCAGCGATGCCTGCACACCGCTCTTGTACAAAAACGTCGACTTCCTCCATAAGCTTCTGACTAACTCCATTTTGCGCAGCACGACGAACTGAGGCGACTGGCGTGCGATTATGTTCCTGATTTTCTCGGCCGCTAGTGACACCGGCAGAAAAGCGATAACGTCGCCATGAGAAGAATCACGCCTGCTCTGTCACCCTTGCTTGAAATTGCGCGCCGTTTCAACCGATCGATCTTTAAATGCCCGGTAACGCGAACACGGGCATTACCTCCTGGTCGTATCACGAGCTCAAATAAATGAGAAGTGCGACAATGCGGCGGAACGTGAGAGGAGAAACGCGGAAACGCACAATTACGAGTGAATCCTATTTTTCCACACACCTACGACAATCTTCGACACGCAATTACCGTCGAAAATATCGTCACTCGTCCCGATAACGATCATTAATTCACTTCAACGCGGACACGATAAAGATCGATCAAAAAGGTCATCAGTTTGTGCGTTGATAAAAAAAAAGACAAAAATGTCGACTTTCTTATTCGACTGAACACAGATTCGATTAATCTCGATCCACTGCCCAGTTCGTAATCGATTATTACTGTTTACAATTGTTATGAAAAACTGTTGTCCGCCGACTGACCGTTGTTCCCGGTCGCGTTGTTTGTAAAATTCACAGGTGCGGGTAAAGGTGAGGCGCGCGCTCGAGAATTTCGGTTGCGTTGCGTTTACGCACTGGGCTTAGGACGATGCGGGAGACAACGTGTCGGTATCTGCACGGTGACGCTGTTGCCGCGCCTCGTGACCGACGGTTTGGATTTTCGCGCTAAGCCGCTCATGCCGAGAGCCGAGGCCGTCGTAAATCTGCAATGTTTCGCGTGCCGTGAACGATCGCAACATGTTTGTGACGAGTGTAGAGAAGGATTTCTACGATGCGATACAGAGAAACGTGAGTCAGCCCATTGTTCCGCACCACCATGGTGTATTCGCGTCTTTCGATTATAGGTTACCGCGCGCGCTCCCGTACTCTCGCTTCTCAACATTTTCTCACCCCGACTCGCTCTTCCGCTCGATAAAGCACCACAGCGTGATCGGTATTAATATTCGCGATAAATTGTTCCCGCGATATTTCAGTCGCAACACTTGTCGAGTCTTGGCGGTCATCTGTTTCTATGTTAATTACCGTTACGTGTGATTGTCATCTCTTGGATCATTTTGATGAATCAATGCGAGACCGTTATACTTCTTCACTTGAGAATTAAAGGCAGTGTATCATGGGAATTTGTGATAATAAATATGACGTATAAGCAGGACACAATATTGTTTAATATTGCATTACAAAGGATATATGTATCATTACTTCATATTTCTTAGATTCACCTTTGGGTTTCATATTCTATATAGTTTAAGATTTCAAACAATATCCTGTACATCTCTCTGTAAACCGAGGAAAAATCGATTTTTCATGCATTGTACAAAAACTCCTGATTTCCTTTTGTTATTTAGAGGTGTTTACTTCTGGTGAACTTTGACGTTGATGCAATCTGTGCCTGTAGAATATTACAACAACTTTTCAAAAATGACCACGTGATATATACTCTTGTACCTGTCCGAGGCATTCAAGATATGATCAATGCCTTTGAAGAAAATTGCGAGGAGGTAATGGCGCAAGGTTCTTTAACTTGTATTTGCTATCATACATTGTGCATGACTAAAATTGCGAGGAGGTAATGGCGCAAGGTTCTTAAACTTGTATTTGCTATCATACATTGTGCAAGACTAATAATCCTTAATATTTCAGATAAAGAATGTAATTATGATAAACTGCGGTGGTACTCTAGATTTAGTAGAATTACTCCAGCCAGACGAATCTGTGGTATTTTTTATCCTTGACAGTCATAGGCCTTATGATTTGTGTAATATCTATTCAGAAAATCAAATACGTATTCTTGGTAAACCTGACGAAGACAATGAAATCCCTGAATATAATGATATATTCCGAGATGATAGTGTGTGTAATATTTGCGATAAGTTTCTCACTGACGTATATTAATGGCAATAAATAGTTGTACTTTATACAACTGTTGCTTTGATAATTCCATTTAATTGTTATGCAGACAGATGAGGAGGATGAAAGTGAGGGATCGGACAATGAAAATGAAAGTGCACAAAGTAAAAGAAGAAGATTAAATGAAGAGGATATTCTGAGGCGAAGCGAACGAAGGAAATGGATGGAAAACAGAGCGACAATTCTCTTTAATTATTCACAGTACAGCTATTATGGCAAATCGGTATGAATCTTAACTGAAAACTCTAATATATACTAAACACACTTTTTTAAAAGTTTATATATACGTAACACGTTCTGTTACAGAGTGCGATATTAGTTTTTGAGATGGCTTGGAACATGTCGAAAGATAACTTAGACATGGCATGGTGGGCCATAGTTGGTTCAACAGAACAGTCCATCCTTAGCAAGGTAGAGTCACGAATCACTGTTCTTGAAGAAGGTTCTCTTCAAGCTCACGTTTCAAGGCTGACGCATAGACAAGGTGTTGATATCAATAGACAACAGCAACAGAGTATTGTCAGAGTTACTTATGATAAAGAGTATCCTTTCATAGCTATTTTTTCACACAACGCTGATATCTGACAAATGCTCTTGTATTGATGAACGAAATTCCTTAACAATTTCCAACAGTCTTCAATTAGCATTGTACCGCCACTGGACTGTTGAAGCCAGTTTAAAATATTCAATGCCAACCGCGGTGTCACTACGTCTTTGGTCGATCAGAGGAGAACAGCGTTTGAGAGAAGTTTTAGCTGAGATGGGTTTGCCTCTAGTGCAATCTAGACAATTGTTTCGTGCAATGGATCTTACTTTTAGACAGGAGTTTAAGCAGATGGTTGAAAAATTGGCTGGCAAATACAAAGTCAATAGTATCATTGGCAGTAGTTTTACTCTTCAATATGGTTATCGTTTCAAATATTGCGCCTCGGATATGGTTTATGCGATGTTGGCTTTACTAGATTCCACGGTAAGCCGGTGTTGTGCGAATATATTAACACTTGTATGTTACAATTTAATTTCGTTTCTTCTAATTTATATATCACAATTTCACAGACGAAGGACAGACAGCCACAACGTTGCTTCTTGGATACACTGGATTGTTTGTCGCGTACGAATAAGGATATTGTAGAGGACGGTATAGAGAAAGCAAAGCTGATGCTTCATAATATCTTTAAAACTGCACAAAGCATATTAGAAGCTAAGCAAGTACAGAAATTCGGTTCCTTGCTATATCTCAGTGTGCCGGATGGCAATATAGACACTTATTTATTCGCGCATCCTCATCCTCTGATTATGTTAGCTCAATTTGCCCTCAAGGCGTATGTAAATTCTTCGAGAAACAGACACGCGCCTGAATGGCCCCTCGTAGCTTCTGCAATGTTCAGCGCAGAAGAAGGCACGTGCCTCCTTGTCGGTATACCACCAGTTTGCGAAGATCAACCTAGAAGGTAGTATTCAAAAACACAAACGAAATATGATCTTCTCTTCCAAGAATTAACTATATATGGATTTATTGCAGCTTATTTGGGAAAGCATTCGAGCAAGCTGCCAAGAATAAAAATTGTTACATAGAGGCAGATTACTTCGATAGTACAAGTAAGCGTGAACTTGAATTTCTTGAGTTGTATTAAGCGAATGAAACTCATTAAAATATGATTTTCTTTTGCAGTAATAAGACTGAAGGTCGAGGAAAGGACCAAGTTTCTTGATGCTCTGGCAACACTCCTTGCGTGATGATTGTCATAAACTCATAATCATTAAATAGAGGGGAACAGTGCGACGGTCTCATTAATTAAATTTTTAGCTAGCGCGACCATTAATACAATCCAATGCAACTTTATTGCTCATGACATACGGTGCCTTTTTTTAAGAAAATGCAACTTCTGTACATTTTTAATCAGCGACGCAGTAGCTTTATAATTGTAAAATATTTAATATATAGGCTAGAGGACCGACATATGTGAATCAGCGGTTTCGTGTTAGTGTAATGTGTGTTGTACAGGAAAGACTAAGGTACAACAGAAAGATAAGATATATAGAGATCATTTTCGCGTCCCGACAACATTTAGATTAGTAATTTAAGAGACACGATAGATTAAGTAATTTTATAGAAAATAACTGGACGAAAACCGATAAAAAAAAAAGAGATATAAATAAAAATTCTTACATTTGTGCTACATATTTGACAACTGCTTAATATTTTGCTTATACTTTACTCGTAAATGTATAGAGTAGGAAATTTTGTGCACGACTATATATATAGATATTGTATTCAATCTTCGAACACCTGTAACACGTAACTATTCACAAATGCAACTTACAAATTACAACGATGAACAGGCTATTTCACAAACAGAGGATTAAAAGTGCGCCCACACCGGCATTTATTAAGTAATATATAATATATTAACGTATTTTTCTCGTGTGCGTGTGTACACTTAAAAATACAATTTGATCGATTTATTTTTGGCTATGATACATACATCTTTTGGTTACATCCGCGGAGGATTATGCAAGACCAAGTACGACTGACGCGCGGAATTCTTCCTACGAAAAGAGCGACGGTATCACAGAGACAGGAGTAAAAAAAAAAAAAGGAGGAGAGGGGTTTGGTTTTATCTGACACTCGAGCAACTCCTTCTCTTATAAAAATCTGACAAGTAGAAATATTTCGCTTAATTAACGTAGCTCTTGCTATGGCTTTAGGCCGGCACATGTTCGGTTTTTGATGTTTTGCGGACTGCCGCTATTTTATTTGTCGGCAATTTGTTATTGAGAAATCCATCGACGAACTGTTGTACGGAGTCCACGGTAATCTCAGCGCCATCCTCCATCACCACGTAAATCCCTCGCGGAATGTCGATAGCAGTCAGGAGAGGTACCGCGTCATCCAAACCAATGAATTCACGAAGAATGTCGGACGTTTCACACTGCGCGGAAAAAAAACAATTATTAGGTATGCCTTTATGAATATTTTATACTCGCGAGATTTATGTTTCTACATTTACACGTATCTCCGTATCCTTGAAAAAAATTATCATACGCGTTTAATTCATCATGTTCAACGTATGTGTGTATACCTACATCTAGAGCTATATAAAACTGCAAAGTATCGTCGTCAGGATCATCATAGTTTGGATCATAATCTGGCCGATCCCTTCTGTACGCTTGTGCGGTTGGCAGTAATACGCTTTCCCCAAATTGAATCTCGCAGTCTTCTCCCTCTGTGAAACGTGGGTGAGGCAACTTAGAGTCATTGATGGACATTAACGTAATTAGAAAATGTTCAAGCATCTTTTTCTTGTATTCTTACCAACAAACAAGATAATGGCCGGAGCATCGTGCAACGATGTAGCATATTTTTCTGTTAAAATGTTCACCAATCTGCTCGTCCAGGGAAAATTCTGATAAAAAGAAAAACGGGAAGTTTCCATCAAATTAACAATACATCTCGTGATTGTGAGAGCTTTAGAGGAGTGAGGATACATTACTTTGCTCAGAACACAGTTTTTAACGACTGATTTTTCACTTAAACTGTAATCAACGTTTTATTTGTCTTGAAAAAGTTGTTTGTGTTACCAGTCCCTCCGGATCCTCAATCAGCTCGGTGCGTCCATCTAGAGTGATTATGTTGTCGCGAGGATCCAGAATGACCAGAGTCGGTATTGCTTGAACGTCGAGAGCCCTTGCCAATTTCCGACGTCTCTCTTCTTGGCTAAAAGGTATCTTCAACCAAGGCATTGTCTCCGTGTACGCATTGTAAGAATCCTCGCTCCTAGTATGAAAACGCATAATTGGAAACCCTTTGTAGAGGAAATGCGACGGAAACAAAAGGGGTGTAGTGCAGTGATAGATAAGCAGAAAGAAATTAGTCGTCGAATGTACGTGAGATAAACGCCTGGGAATAATGTTTTGGCATTTTGAGAAGAAAAATCTGCCAAGAATCGGGTTAAACGATTGGAACGACGAACACACCTGTCCGAACTCACGAAGATCACTTCAAAATCGTGGCCTCTCTCCCGGATTCGCTGGTACGTATCCACGAGTTGCGGTGTAAAAGCTTTACAAGGTGGACACTGAATGAAAGGAACACAGGATCTTAAAAATAATCGATTCCATTGCGGATTCGCTGATATTAATATTCATTAATATTCATCACTCATTAATATTCATATTTATAAGAGACGCACAAATTAAATTAATATTAATTCACAGTATTAATAATCAATTAATACTTATTAACATATTAATATACACAGGGTATCCCAGTATAAAGAGAACATCTGAATATCTCAGGGGCTTAAATACGGAAGACTTGAGGAAAAAAATCGATAAAAATTACCGTCAAAATAATGTTCAGAATACGATATTTTAGATGAACCAATATTTTTCTGAATGCTTTGGCTGAGGAACTCATATCCGGACTACAACAACACATCGCTGCTCGCACACAGAAACTAGTGGGGCGATTAACACATACAGATGTCCAACATCGTTGCTTACCCAGTGTGCACTGAAATACACTCCCTTGAAACAGTGGCGGAGTTCCTCGTGCAACATGGGTTCATTGCTGTCCCGGCCGCCGCAAGGCAGGAGAGGTCCATCCTCAAGGGCAGCTTTTGGATGCGGAGGTCTCCAAGGGAATTCCGCACCGGCAGGATCGGCGACGGTTCGTTCAACTCCCCCTCTCGTCACTACGGACCCGTTCGAGCCCTCCAGTAAAATCAGCGTCGGTACACCCGCCTTTATCCGATACCTTCGAGTCAGCCTGGTCTGCAGAAGCGCGAGAGATTAATTCGCGTATGACAGAATCACGGCGCTTTTATCGGACCATCGCCCGAGGTATCGTTATACGCCCAAAATTTCTGTCTCGTTTCACCCGCATCGTTATGCCGCGGATCGTTTGCGAAACGATCTTACGGATGCACGAAACGTGATAAGAATCTAAATTAGGGGCGTTACTCGTAGGAATATTTTCTCGCACGGATAAGATGTAAACTGATGGGGAAATATGCGAGACGATTACGCGCGATCTCTTTGCTCGATTCGCTCGGTAGTATTTCATGTTGATTAATGTAACCGATGTAATTATCGCAGGAAAGAAGAAGGCAGTGGTCCCGCTCGATAATACCGGCGAACAAGACGCGCAAGAGAGCATATTTCTCCGGGGACTTTGCAGCAATAAGCGCGCGGAACGGCTGGTGCCGTCGGAGTTACATTAACATTGCGAGTGGTGTGTATCGTAGCACGCAGAAGATATTCCTCGAGAAGTAATAAGGATAATGGAGTAAGAGCCGCGCACGGGAGGTAATTAAGAGGGCGGAAACGTATCGATATCCAATTTATTACATAGTGTGCCTCGGAGTCTCACGTTTCAAAGCTTTCTAAAACAATGCAAANATATTTATAACATAACGCATACATACACACGTGCGCACATAAAATCGTCCCTGTTGTAAATGCACTTTACCCCCCCCCCCTCTCTCTCTCTCTCTCTCTCTCTCTCTCTCTCTCTCTCTTATGTGAAAGTGTGCGCAGCATAGTTTCATTAAAACGCAAGTGTATATTTAAATAGTCCCTTGAACGGTGTACATCATTAGCGACAACCCCCCCCCCCCTTCCGATGAAATTTCTTCCGCGCTCTTGCCTTCAGTCTCGATCTGCCTCGTCGAAACTCCTCTCTTTGGCCGTCTTTCTATTTCAACGTCCGATCTGTGACGGACCTTGCGTGTCCCGTGATTCTTTGGAAAAAAAACACCACGTTGCGACCGACGGGAGACACAAAGATTCGACGACGTGTTGCGAAAGAACACCGTGCAAAGGTAACTCGGCCTCGCCGCGACCCCGCCGACATTATTCGACGATGCAGGCGCACGCGTTACCCTCGGACCGAGCATCGAGACATTATTTTAAACTGATATCCCGGTCTCCCTCCGGCGAAAGAAACTCGCCGACGCAGCTTCCGTCGGCCGAGTGTCATAATTCGTGACGGCGAGGAGCGCGGGGGGACGGGTCTAAGCCTTCCAATCTACCCCGAAACTGCATTAAGTCGGCCGACCCTTTCCTCGAACATTCACGATCCTCCCCCGCGCCGCCCCGCAGTTCGATATCTCAGGGGGAGGAAGGTAGGGGCGCGATCTCTCGTATCGCGCGGGATGCCCCGTTACGGTCGCGCATAAAGGGCGGCAAGGGAGTGAAGGGCAGGGAGAGGGTGGCAGGCATAAGGCGAGAGGAAGGGTCCGGTAGGTAGCGAAACGCGGAACGCGCACGGTGAGCGTTATCGCGAGCTTCCACCGGGAAGGAAGAGAGAGAAAGACAGAAAGACGGTCGGCCGTGAAGGGCGAGAGGAGGGCGCGGAAAGGGTCGCTTCTCGTCCCTTCGTATATTTCCCGCGCGGCGTTCTCGTTCGCTCCCGCGTCACGTGGTGTACCCCACGTACGTAGTTCGCGCCCGCCCCCGCTCGGTCTCGAGCGGTCGATAACGCGTGCGTCCTACTCCCTCGCTCGCTCACCCGCTCGCGTCGCTACCGCGTCGCTCCACGCCGTTGTCGTTATTTCCCTCGGTGGTCCGCACACTGGGAGTCATAAATGCCCGCCGTCGCTGCGCGCGCGAGCGTCTCCCGAAGGAGCGTATCGCGCTCGGATATATTTACAGGTAGTGTAAGGCTTTGTGCAAGGGATGCGCTTTCGATGCGCGCGAGATAAAAAGCTCCGTTATAACGGTCCTTTTCTTTTGTTTATTATTTATTAATCCCACGCGCGCCGAGCTCACTTCCGGCGCGATATTATATTTAAAATGCGAGGCGTACGCCGAACGCGATAGTTGTTATAAGCCGGTATTCATAATCGGATCTTGCGCTTAACCCTCGAAAAGCAAGGTGGGTTTCCGACGTATCCAGGAAAGTGGGATTGGATCCGACCCCGTATTCTGTTTTCTTCGTTTTTCATGTGGTAAATGTGCAAAAGAGGTAAAAATAAATAATAACGTGAAACATTTTTTTAAGAAGAGAAACAGCGCGTGCGCACTGTAAAATAATCGAGCTGTGGGGTCGCGTCCGACCCCAACCTTACTGTTTAGAGAGTTAAGATCGTCTCAAGTTTGTCTTCAGATATTGTACGGATCGTTTCATTAAGCCTGTTCGTTTTAGCTGAATTAAAACTGCTGCGTTGGAAATTCGTTCCTTTTCCCTTCAACGTTATATACGGTTGTACACTTGTCTCACTCTAAAGATAAAAAATGTGCAACTTAATTCGGCTAATACGAACAAACCTATTGGCTATGAGTTGTATATTCTGTGGAAAAAGACAGAATTGTGTAAAATATTATGTAGAAGAATATCATAAAGAATGGTTTGAAGAACGTAGTAGTGATAAGAACGAAAAATGAAGAAGAATATATGGGATGAGTTATCATGAGATAGAGTAAAAGGAAATATATTGCGTAAGTTGTGGAAAGAGAGATAAAAGAAGTTGAAGACGAGGAAGGACATAAAACTAAGGATACAGGCAAGGAGAATAAGGATGAAAGCAAAGAGTTGCAAGGAGAGATGATAAATCATTTAGCGCGAGTTAGTGCAAGAATTAAGTGGGAAACAAATAAGGATAAACAAAGATAAATGATTGGATATAAAAAATGGATGGATAGAGAATGAAATAATGAGAGAAGCATGGTTCGTATAACATTTAGGTATTTTGGCTAGTCAAACAGTTATCACGTGTGGATGGATGAGTGTGGTTAAGGTAAACATTGTAAACCAAGTCCTTCCTTGATTTGCATAAGCTGAAATAAAAATGTTATGATCAGAAAATATATATCGCAATGCATCTGAAGATAAACTCAAGACGGTTTTGAGTATAAGATCTGACTACGAGTACCGGTCATAGTCTTCGTTTACATTTGTCCTCCCTTCCTCCTCGCGGGCGGTCTCGATTCCGTCAACGAGCACTCGCCTAGTGAAACGAGCGAGTATTTATAACGCGCAGTGTACGTCCCCTACTATTAGGATATTGCGCTGCGATGCGTCTCTTTCTCACTTTCCCCGCTTTTCTCGTCCGCCTCGCGTTCTCTCCCGATCGTCGGGGCGCCTTTTCCTCTCGTCCGCTTCGCTCACCCGGCGGAATCCCTCGCCGCGACCTGGAGTGGAAAGCGGCCGTGAGCGGGAACGCGGCTGGGAAGCGCAAAAGAGAGAGAGAGAGAGAGAGAGAGAGAGACATGGGGGCTAGACGGAGATCACTTTTGACTGGCGTTCGCACGCGTTCAATCGTCTCGCACGTGTACGTACACAAACCGCGGGAGTCGGTCGGGCTTTATCCGACGCCAACGCGCGCCCGACCGCGTCAGTCGCGACGATCGCGCGCGGTTTCCCTCCGGACTCTTCCCCGCTTGTCTATGGCCGTCGCTCACGCTCGATTCGATAAGAGCGAACGTCGCGTGTGGGTGGCTCGTTACGGCGCCGGCGGATTTAAACTTTTTGCGGACGCGAGCTGTAACACGGAACGAGCCACCTTTCTCGCACCCCCGAACAACGGGTGCGATAACAAATTCGTGGGATGGACGAAGGAGAAACGGGTTACACTTCAATTACCGCTTTCGGCGAGCTGGCCAATCGATCAGCTCTGATAAGCAAAATCGCGTCGGAACTTGTAAAAGAGGACGGGTAAAACGGGCCGATATCGGCCACCGGCAATGGCAGGTAAAAACAGTCTGTTTTTCGTAGCTTCTAAGCTGCTGAATCTGATTCTGATCTATAAAAAATTCTAATTTATCGGGAAAATATTGAAATCAGCATATGAAGCTATTGAATGTATATAAGAAGTTATTATGTGAGAACGATATATTAATGAAAGAGTAAAACTATAATAAAATAAACGAAATATTACGTGCTCGATATTTTCCTAAGATCCACTAAAACGCTCAACGTCTATCAGAAATCTTTCAGAATGATGCTACTGATAGTGAGAATGATTCTAAGCAAAGAACAATCGTTCCATTAATTTTTCTCAGTGTTTTGTTTTTTTCCTGTATGCATATATATTCTTTTATATATATGCAATAGATTCCGTTCATTAAAAATATTTTACCATTGTAATATTTTACTGCTGGAAATTGTAAAATTTGGGCAATAAGTATTTTTAAGCACCGAGATCCAGGTTGATGTTAATTATCTTTCAAAGAGGAGTTTTACTTGGGATTCTCGAGTTAAGAATTATAGCTCCACAATTTATTCGCTCGGTTACGTGACTATTAATAATATTCGCGGACTAGAAGCGCATATTCGATTATAATCCAAGGGTTTATGTAACAACGTCCGCGCGAGAGATTGATGCACGACGATAGCGCGGCTCCGAGTCGCCGTCGTGAGATTCGTTTTTCCCCGACAAAACACCAGCACGGCCTTTCATGCGAACAATTTGTGCATTCACCACTTTTCCTTTGACCACGAGCTAATAGGTCGTGCACAATTCATAGGCATGCGCTGCGGTAGAGAGGAGAGAAAAGCACGAAACAAAACGTAAAACGAAGCTGCGGTCGCCGACATGAAACGGCGATAAGATTTCCTGTCCGATTTCCACGAACGTATCCACGCAGTCCGCGTATTCGACACTGCGAAATTAGACGAAAGACAACGTACAAATAATGTCTTTCGTGATCCTTCGAATTTATTTACGGAACGCTTAATGGTTGATCAAGCAAGCGTTAATCTTTCATCTCAAGCCGAAATTTGGATACTATTCTTAAGGATAGTTTGCGTTTATTTGGACCGTTCATCGACT